CTAGACCGGAGCCAAATTGGGTCTGGCTGGGAGTCGGTGTCTTAGCAGTGATAGTGACAGCGAGAGGCCGATGGTAACGGTGATCGCGGTCTATTCGTCGCCTACTCCCCGGATCTATCCATGAGATCCGCACGCACACTGAAGTAAACAGAGGAAAGCTGAACAGGATAAAAGTCCTCAACCTCAGTTACCCACAATACGACGGCGGATCAAGCCGGCTCAGTTTCTCCGCCGCGTTTTGATATACAACGAAACAGACTAACATAGGGACGCGTGCTTAGTGGCTGGTTTCCGTGTGTACAGTATATCGGTGTTCGGATTACTTATCCAAATCGCGTTTATTATAAGCAGCATTAGGAACAAGAGAAAGGCCTAACTTCACACTGCAGGCAGGCCAGAGCGTCGTTGATTACTGCAGTGCATCGCTGGGGCGTGGTTCAGAATATTGGCGCTATTCGAGCTTGGAGAGAAGCCAGCCACGTAAGGCTTCTTTCACCATCGCCACAGCCATCATGATTATGACGAAAGCAGCGATGTGACAATGATAACGATGCCAACACCCGCGCTCCCGTCCGATGACACAAATTGCTTATAGAATTGATCATAAAGGAGTATAATATTGCCGTGTACGACACCAGCTGGCAGTTAATGCAAAATCATGGTAGATGTTGCTACAACTTTATTCATACACCGATAATATATTGCAATAACACACAAAATCAAACGGCACACAGTTCATTAAAAGACAAACATCAAAATATCATATCCTATCTTCAGCTAATCTAATTGTATACAAATAGAAAATGGCAGGTAAAGTTGGCGCACAAACGGTATAATACATACAGTCAACAAGTTCGATTATATTTTATTAACAATTAGTAACTACAGCGTATTGCACGATGCTGAGGGGGGCGACAAAAGCTAGAGCTACAAATCTGGGAAACAGTGGCGACGGGGCAACGTTTTGTCTCGCCTTTCGCCCCGTCTTTATCAGCTGCAACCCCCCGTTTACGAACCGCGACGTAGTGCGCTACTGCCATTGTTACTACTACTATTACTACTACTTCTACTAAATACTCGTTATCATGCGTCAAAATTAAGAGCCATCGGAACTATGTCGACGGTGGAGTGTGAGGTGGGTGCGCCAGTGCCTGCGATGAAACGGGGGGCTGATGGGTCTATTTATATGTATCGGTAGACGCTATGAGAAAAAGAAGAAGGTGATGGAAAACTGTGGAGAAGTGGCTAGGTAACGCTGAGGAGCTATAGGAATGGTCGCAAAACAAAGATTGGGAACTCCACTCCAGAGCTGTACCTTCGAAGGTGTGTTCGAAGAGAAGGTAAGCTGAGTATTCACTCGGGTAGCCTGGCCTACACTAACCACTGGCACCGTTCAGTGGGGTTCAGATTAAATCCTCCAGATCTATTCGAACGGGGGAGAACTAAGCGGAGCTTGACGGCCAAACAAGGGATATAGCCTCCCCCTAGTCCAAATTGCCTGAATATGTAAAAAGATAGCGAGAGAGTCAAGGTATCTAAGGTGGCACTCCGTAGCATTGAAGAAGCACACAAAGTACGAGCTGGAGGATCAGCGTCAGAAAGAAGGATATGGTTAATATCGGAGCATGACTGCTGGGCTGGGGGTAGTCTCCTCATCCCTGCTGCATAGCACTTCCTGACGCAAAAATGTCGGGCGCAAAAGCATAAGGGGTCGAACAGTCTGAAAGAGGTGCTGAGCTAATCGACGCACTCAGGAACGGCGAAGTAGAAAGGACAGGGAGGGAAGCCTGCATGTACCCAGACTAAACTTTGCCTGTCGCGGAATGCTGGAGAGCAGTGGCACGAGCAACCGATTTGGCATTCGCCTGCCTTAGCAAAAAGACAAATAGAAAAATTATTGACTTAGCCTTTTTATGTTTCTCCACGTTACGCTATGAGGCAACCCGTTGAGATCGGTCGTTAGATTCCACTTAATGAGGTCCGTTCAAATCATTTGCGTGGCTGGGGCCTCTGGCTTAGGCTTGAATCTGAGCACAGAGTCTCAACTCTGTCCTAGAACTCACTGAATGAAATCGGCGCTATCGTCTATAGTTTTGAAATGCGCGAAGGAGAACTGGTCGAAGGGAAACTCTACACGCCGCCAATAACAACTGCTATCAGTTCGCGCGAAACAATAATGAAGGCAACACCAGCAATAATCGTGAAAATGTGAACATTGATCCCGATCTAGAAGCGTTTGTTGACAGTTTCAGTCGAAAGATTTATCAACTCATCGAATCATGAGGGATTCAGAAGATGCTGAGGAAAACGTGTGTTAACTAAAGATGTGCTAAAATACCGATATGAGTTCGCATGCAGAGCCTCCATATGGCCGAGGCAGACAGCGCAGACTTCGTAAACTAAACTCACAAACAGTATCAATACTAGCCAAGGAAGCTGTATGAAGAAGCTTCAATGACGGATTTCCTTAATCAAAGGGAAATGGGTTATCTGCTAGGCTGATAACGCCACGGAAAAACAGGGCATTGTTTACTCGCTCTTCTATGCTTCCTACTATACGTGGTATGTCGAGAAAGACTATTGGTTTTACTTAGTTCCGAGCAGCCGTTTCACTATTATTAAGAGCCCTTAACCCCTTCAAAGTATTTATTCGTTATCAGGTAATTTCTCGTACGCGGACGGTTCCGAGTTCAGTTCTCGCAAGCCTTCTAGTGGACCGCGTAGAATGTATTAGGTTTCACATTTTGCCCCCTAAACCGCAGAACTGTAGGCAGTGATTTGGTTTTTATAGGACTTACTCCTTCTGTCTGTGGTTCGGCCACCGGAACAAAAGCCTGAGTTCGTTTCCCAAGGAAGAGCGCTATGGGACAGGCGGGAAACAGGTTATGGTTCCGAAAAACGGGGCAGCACATACACACATCTTCTTCATCCATATCCTGCTACATGCAAGGCGGTGTACGGCATGGAACTGTCATTAGCCCGGGTACTTTCCACGTAATCGATGTGGGAAGCTCTTATCATAGATCCATAAAGAGCGGCTGGTTTTCAAGCGAAGTAATGCCACATTTAGTCAATGATACGTTGGTTACTTTCTGATTAGCAACACGTACGTTCAATAACCTTTAATGTCTTTTTGGCAGCGCATCGACACTGTGCTAAAAATAGATCCAAGCATGCATCGAATCATCAGACACCAGATCGTTTGTCAACATGCGGAGAAGATATATGTTCAAAGCATAGCAAAACCAATTTTAGTCATAATTAGTTGTAAAAAGAGCGATAATGCCCCAGAAGACTTGAAACGGTTCTGCGTTATAAGCGATTAAGTGCTTTGCCTACGTTTTACATATGTTCATTCTAAGGGCATCAACATTATCACGCTTCCTGTTCGCGTCTTTATACAATTCATGTGTGTTTATATAATATACACGTACATACACACCGAGATGAGCACGTTAATCAACACGCAGTCCTGTTCAAGCCGTCGTGAGTATTCGATGCTCACCTTTATTGCGGAGTTGCAGAAAAAGACGCAAAAAATGAACGCGGTCGATGCGTAAAATCCCCTTAAAGACTATTCAGATTTCCTGATAGAGTCCCTCGAGTAATTGTTATCCACCGACTTCAATCGGTCGCGGATGGAGCATGAAGCATACGGAGGTGTGGTGTGAGTGAGTTAGCCCCAAGGCAAGTCAGGGGGTGTCACCCCGATATGCTATCAAACACAGAGGCGACCCCTGGTGGCTACAGGCATCAGAATTCGCCTGGGTCCAGTTAGGCAGAAACGCATACAGAGCTACTCATTCACCAAGCTTCTTGCTTCCCAGGCTGCCTGTTTCCATCTCTATATCAACAAAGCTGGCGGCTGCCCGAGTTGGCACTACCTGTCCTGGACCCGCCCAGCTCGGTCTGCTGCTCCACTGTGAACTAGTTTGAAATTTGACGGATCTTAAACGCATACCGTGAAGATATTTGCCTAGTAAGCGTATGTGTGTGCACACAACTGTGTGCGTACAGGTTTAATATAATAGTCAATCAGTGCTATACATTGTATTCCATTGTATAGAAATCGATAGCAAGTTTGTGATAACTAAAACTGATAGTACGTGCGGTTTGTCAACAAACTGCGTAGGACATATGAATAAACAGATACCGCAAAACGATTACCTTAGCTGACCGGGGTAGGCAGTAATTCGCGAAAAGGAATGTTTATAGAAAAAGTTACCATTCCTGATATATTAACTCTATTCAAATGGCTTCACTACAGCGAAGCTGTCTGCGCAGAGGCTGTAGAAACGCTTGCGTTTTAGTACCGACTTGAGTCGAAAGATTGAGGTTATTGAGCTTTTTACAAAAACTTTGTGGCAGTCTTTACAACGGTATCGTACATTGCACCGAGAGCTGTGCTGGATCTTCCAGAATCCTTTTGCATCTCGACTGAATCTATACCTCTTGCGCCGCACCTTGGGGGCTATTGAGAACTCGCATAAAAGAAGTCGTAAGTAACGCAGCTGAAGACATGATAGTAAATGTCAATACTTCAATTTTGTACAGATCGCATGAGTTAGTTTCGTTGTATACTACTACCTGCATGTGTTACTGGACTAGGCATACCATCTTTGTATCCAGTTCGATTTGACACAGTTAAGCTGGAAGCCTGGGTCTACAGACCATTCGAAGCTTCACACGTCTATTTCAAGGGCCGAAGAACAGCTGCAACACGATCCTAATAAACATCACCTTCTCAGACAAGGCGCATTTTTGCCTGATTCGACTAGGGAACAAGCAAAGCTCCCGCATATGCGCGTACGAGAATTTTCACGCCATTTACGAACAACGGCTTTGTACAGTTAAAGTATTCCTATAATGAAAATTCTGGGCAGAAGGGATCGGAGAAACGTTTTTTTTTCAAATGGAGTATTAATGACTTTCGTTATGGGGGCTATGGGGGGGGGGGGGGACTAGTCCAGACAATAGACGGCTTCAACAAGACGGCGCAACTTGCCATTGGGCACTTGAAACGTGGACTTATCGATGGAGAAGTTCGATTGATGCACTCATACAGTGGCCGCTCTGTTCATGCGACTTAACGCCATAGGATACTTCTACTTTAGAAGCTCTGTAGCATTTGGCCCTCTGCAACCCGGGAGTTAGAAGAGTGTATTTTCAGAAATTCAAGGTAGTTATTGAAAATTGCTCCTGATTTATGGCAAAAAGTTAGAATAAAATTAGGTACTTTGTTCGCCTGCACGAGATATTGTCTAAAATTCAGTGGCAAGCATTGCCATGAGTATTGATACCGTCCAACAAAGTGGCATCATTCATCAAGGTTCAAAATGGATATATTGAGAATAGGTCAACCAGTACTACAAGCAAGTCATGTAATGATTGAATCATTTCTAAATGACTTAGAACCTACGAAATTGTTATTTCACAGACGCTGAAGGCTTTTGCTCAATGTCTGTAAGCACAAAATGGATAACACTTGTTTATTCTTAGGCTAATTATCTTGGGCGGTAGTGTTTGATGCTGTGCGACCTACAGGCTAGTTGAGTGAAAGGAAAAGAACTCTAGACCGACTCCAGCCAGCGATTTGTCCAGAGTAGGCATATCATATAGGTGTAAAAAGCATTATTAAATACTATAAGTAATGATCCAACGCACTCAAGTTGTCTCCTTTTGTGGGATGCCGATGTTGGCGATCTAGAATAAGATAAGGATCTAAGTTACGCCATCTTCGACAACACCCGTTCCTATTTCTCGTATAAACATCCCCTTCGTTCAGTTAACCTGCCTGCCGTAAAGACGTTGAGATGTGGAAAGCTAAGATATCCTACGACAACTTCCCTATTGAATAAGCTTTTATCTGAATAAGCACATTACGTTCAACAGTAAGTTTCCCCTTGATTTTATAAAGTGTTTCTGCAACCGTTGCCGACAGAATGTCGTTTTTATAGCTCCCTTCGATCGATGCATTGACCATACAACAGGTTCATATTTTGTGTAGTGGTTTGCTACTCGTACGTTTAAAGCCTGTGTTTATATATGTGGGCGTAAGCTACCTATCAGTTTACCGATTTAGTGGCTCTCTCGCTTGCTCGTATCGCATATTAAACGTAACAATATTGCAAGGGGTGAATTGATCGCGCACGATGCAGATCGAGTGAATTTGTTATTGTGGCGTCCTTATACCCATTGTATAGCCATGCAGAGGTCCAACAGACGCTGTTGATGATCTTGTCTGATATCACAAAGAACCAGCTGCAGAGGAAACCCAACGTCGCTGATAACGTACCACTTCAATAAATGTGTCACAGCTCATGTAAGATGTTATGCAGGCCACGAAGCAGCCTATAGGACAAGCCAAACAGTATCTGAAGACATGGGATGCATATATATATATACATGGTAGGAAAGGTCAATATGACATCTATAATCATCTTCATTCTTTGCAGAATACACAACAGATGTGAACAGAGAGTCAATCAAATAGATTAACTTGCAACCGACTTGTCAGATGACTGTTACGTTGTCTCGCTAATAAACAGACTCCTGCGACTTTTCTTCCTTATACGTTAGGATATAGCTTCACTCTAGATAGAATAGGTGGAATGAAAAATCATGTAGATACATTGCACATTCTTCCATAGACGTCCAGCTTAAATTTACTGCGTCTATAGAAACAAAAGTACGGTATGTTTTTGTCAGTACATCACATATAGTTAATGCAATGTGCCAATGGCCTGCAAAACAAGTTACTGCAGAGATAAAAACAATGCGTGATGATACCAGCATTAAATAAGTACTAGGTAAAAACAAGCTTGCCCTTCCGTCGAAAAGAATTAATCACAACTGTACTTCGACGCAGTGTAGAATGGTATACTTGCAGGCGAATTTTCATCTGTCTGTATTATAATAGCTAGATAGATTTGAGATTAAGCAACGTTGACCTAACAACCAATAGTGGATAACAAGCGTATCCTTGAAATTTAGTCCTCAGTTTAATTAGAATTGGACTAACTACCTTTTGAGCTGTCGTTTCAGAAACGCTTGTATTCACGTGAGCCTAGTGTATTTAAGGTACAACAACAGTCTACCACTCTTCTTGCTTCATACCATTCGTACCGGTGGCAGGTTTTAGAAGCAGTATAAAGTCCCCCAGTGAACTCAACGATCGTATCTTATCTTGCCTCGCTAAAATGTGCCCGTGACTCATCATCTAATATGACGACGCGTTTTCGGAAGTCGTTTACGATCCCCCCCGCCTGTCGTCGTCCCATCTCACCCATTTGCTTCCACAAAAGCGTTCGTCAGGGGCACGGACCGTTCGTCGATATCATTTGACGTCAAATCTGACCGCAACACACAAACATACATTAACGAGTAAGTAACAGTAAGCGGTACGATGCGTTGTATAAAACCGCAATAACAATTGCCATGTGCTTGCTTGTATACCTACATACTTTTTAATAGAGTGTCTATTAACCCTCTTCCGCTCTATTTAATGGCGTTACTTTAACTCTGCGAATGACTGTACCGACGCAGTTGACAACAAATAGATATATTTAACACCACCTGTCCTCTCTCACTGCGTCTACATACAAACATACACACATGTTAGCGAACAAGTCTACATACTGTACGTGTAAGCTATCAACGCCGCTTAGGCTTAGTCGCAGATAGCAAACGGAGAGGCAAGTCGGAATATATATCGAGAGGGAGAGAGAGAAATTCATGTAATAATAATAACAACAACCCCGTCGTACCCTCTTACTTCTCGCAAAGGCTCAAGGAGTGTCTGTTCGACTGTCATGACGTGAAAGGGTGACGGCGATGATAATGATTTGTGAGCGCCACCTCATACAAAGCGACACCTCCAGGATTTTGTTCGCGCTGTACCAGGTGCTGTCTCGTTCTCGAACATTCGGCAGTACAAAGCAAGATAAATAGAGGAATGGGGATGAGCAAGACATCCCCGAACTTACCCCTGAGGGCATGGAACAGGACCAGAACGGTGCGGAAGGAGGGTAGAAGAGTGGTATGTGTTCAGTCGTCACTGCTGCACTTGCTGTCATCACCGCCACAGCCACAGCCACAGCCACTGCCTCTACTATGACGGCAGTAGGGGCATCGCTGGCGCTATCCGAGGGCGATAGCGGCACGTGCTTCGAATGACACGGCATGCTCAAATAATACATTGCTGTAAGTAGTACTAGTATATTCACCGCATATTACATACACAGACATATGTACTCTATTAAAAATGCATGCTATGACACTGTTGTTCTGCTATATAGTCTTTTTCGGCCGGCAGCCAGAAGTCGTGGACTCATGCTGAATGTCAACTCCTATTGCCCTGCACGAGGGCGTCAGCCCCAGCAGAAAACGCGGTAGCAGCAGACGACACAACCGTACTGGTGCACGCTCAATCTTAGAGTTTGTTTATGAAAACAACTAATACGGGGGCGGCGACAATGACAACAACAAAAATACAACACAGCCCGCGTGATGTCCAGTTATGAATGCAGTGATGATAACATCTAGAACGGCTGTACAAAGGTTGCTGACATCTTTGCTAATTACTAGCCCTACGAATGAGCGAATTAAAATAAATAGTTAGTTAACAACAATAAACGCTATTCGTATCTATTCAGTACAATATAATATGGCACTATATAGATGTATGTGTAATAGAAGGGAGGTAGCGACCTCTTGTTAGGTAATGCGTCTTGTTAGGCGTTAACTTATGCAACTAGTGGTCATAAATTGGATGGACGTTTAGGTTGTATAGTTCAGTTCAAGTTAAAGTCTGTGTCTATCACATGATACAATTATAATGGTAATAATACTATTTACAGCTAACTTTCCCTATTTTGTGATTCGGGGACCGCTCTAAAATAAGGAGCATCGCTACTCGGCCTCAAGACAATGTCAGCTAGAGATGCGGAAGCAAAAAACAACAGTTCAATCAGCTTTTGTACATCAGAAATCCATGTACTATATGTAGCATATGTAGCATGCTGGTGAAATATGTTAGTCTCTTTTTGAACTTAAATCAGGACATGCGCCATGTTGCCCAGTTCATAAACACTATTGCTACCATTGTCACCGGAACAACACATAAATATTTCCGAAGCTTATGAATGGGTATCGAGGGGCACTCGAGGTGAAATCACTTAAGACGTCGCTTCGTTGTCACTGCCTCGTTTCTTTGGTGGCATTGGTAGCATTTCTTTTAGGCAGATCCTGTTCCTTTTAAAAGGCAAAACTGACAAAGAGGAAGTAGAGGACGTGCGAGAAGAATATCCACAGCTAACCGATGCAAGGTGTGCTTTCGTACGAAGATTCCTCGAGCTCCCTTGGAGAAGGACAAACCACATCGTTTGCCTGCTCGATCCTTTCCCGTGCTGAGCCATGGCCTCCTTCAAGCGGAAATTAATCATTTTTGCTGGAGTCATCTTTCCTCTAGTTATCGATTTCTGCTCTGCTTGAAGTCATATTCGCTCGATGTGCAGGGATGATAAGCAACGACTTTTTGTTAATATTGTACACGGACGACAATCGTATTTTGTTTGGCAAAAAAACATGAGTTGACGGGTTTCTGAGCGTGCACTTCTATTACAAGACGTCAGTCAATTAAGTTAGCCAATATCAGAGTAAGATTTCATAAAAATGATACTTTTAAATAGATGGTTGCCAGTACGATCGAAACACATAGGTCGACTCTTATTATACATCATATATGTGTTTATACAAGCGTTAATGACAACAATGCGACACCTATAAACATGACCTCAGAGGAGAGGGAACATGATTTAAGCGCAAAACTTTTTGTAAATCTATATATGTAAGTTTAACTTTCTTCAAATATTGAATTGGCTCCTTTATTTCCAGAAGTATGTGTGTGGTAGTCGATTCCTGAATATACTTGTTTGTTGTTATTTTTGACTGTGAAGCGGTAACATCTCCCATAGTACCCTGTCTGCACATCAATCATAGAAACGGAGAATAGTTGCGGTTTAAGCCAATAGATACTTAATTAGCTAGAATCTATCTGAAGTGACGATTTGCCTCAGAAACCACTATAATTAGTGTTCTGATCATATTTTTCCTCGACTACTTCAATGGTTATTTTCAGTGCGGTTTTCCGTGTAAATAGGTAATGACGTTTTTACGTGAAGCAGCACTGAGCGATTGCTTCAACCTTAATATGGGGAAACCTTTCGTGCGTAGTGGGGGATGGATCGGTTAGAATTATGAATCTTAACCATTTACTTATATTATATATATGTAGGTTTATAAACGAGCCAGCTACCTATTTGGCTAGAAGACGTAGAAAAACAACTAGCAAAAACCGAAAGTTATGCTGACTATGTTTGGCGAACTTGCGTTCAGGCTAATGTAATAGACTTAGAAGGTTAAAATTAGTTCATGCGGAGCCGTCAGATACGCAAATATATTTAGATATGTCTATTCATCGCTTAACAAAAAGCAACTTAGCTAAGCTAGAGGGTTTTTCTAGGCTTTCTGTGATCCTTATACTACGTTCGTCCAAAGGACGGCCACGCGTCTGGTGCCGTCGATCAGATTATAATCTCGCCAATTTAGAAACGAATAGGGAAGTTAGAGATGTAACCAACATTATACAGTGATTATTCAATATTTGGTCTGCTTGATGGTTTCATATCTTAAATTCATGCTATTTTTTTTTTTATGAAATATCTGTGTCACGTCGGCTTTCAGTCGGAGATAACTCAGATGAATCATCATGGAAAACTAAATGTCTAGCGTGCTCATTATTGGAACCCGTCCTTAGCTCAAATACATTCATTTTGTATATATTACATTGGACTCACTTCAGCTGGCCCTGAATATGATTCAGCATTTTCACCTTTGAGACAACCCCCTGAAACGATCCGCAGACGCGTGCCATCATATATGTCTATGTAGATTAGATATGCGAAAATAATGTTTATAGAATTTGGTTTTAAGGGTAAGTTTAAGTAGAATCCGATCGACTTTTATTAAATACGTTTCTGATCCAGTAGCAGATATTATTCAGAATCTGCTGTAACGTAATCTGCTGCGTGTGCCGAAATTGATAGCTTTTCTTCAGCACAAAGTGTACCATTGAGTACCACACTTCACACGGTGCTCCAGTGTTATGTATCATTCCGTTCAGTGTAATCGATCTCAGCTCTTATGAAATCACTGTGACTTTAGTTCATATTGCTAAAGTAAGAGTAATATTCACTATTATTGTTAGCAGATAAGTGTCTTCGTTAGACCACTCACGTGCACCGATATACGAAGCACAGAAAGTAATTAATGGTAGATTAATAGTGGAGCTGATGGAGATCTTCCTGCCAATCCCAATGAAAGGATCAATGTCCATATACAGGGTCGAATCAATAGCCATTTATCTCCTAACACGCCTACACATTTATTTCGCAATGTCTCAACTAGTTATTTCATAACAGTCTTCGCCGTTAATAGCATGTTCAGTTTAATCGCACTATTGCATGTTATTATTATGACCTGTACTGCGCTCCTTTGATCAGTTAATGCAAGTCAACACAAGACCTTTTTATTCATTTCAATGACACTCCCCGTCTTTGGCAACTTCCTATAACTCCTAACATTCAGATCAAAAGCTCCTGGTCCTTACCGCGCTCTCTGTTTGCTACTTGCTTCGAGATCTATTCCGCTGTTGCTCCGTCAATTCCCGTGTTATCGACATTCATCTTGGCCTGTAGCAGTAGTAGTTGTCCGGGTGGCTGGCCAACTAGAACAAGCTTCATATAGCTTTTTCCGACTATAACGCAAGGCGAAAGACTTCACTACATCGAGACTCAAGCAGGGCGCAAAGAAACACAGGCCTCTCAAAGTACTTTGCCAGCGCCTTGCTCTGACCGCCGATCTCAATCCACCCATGAATTGGCTCTATTCCCTTTCCATATCCTCTATATCTTACATAGCACTGCGTTACCTATAATGTCGTACCTCATCCTACTACTGGACGACCACTAGCACTATGGCTACCTTACCGCCGTGTTCGAGGCGGCGGCCGTCACTGTCGCAGTAGCCGCTGTGGTAGTAGTGGCCGTAGTACCGAAGTGCGCCGCAGAGGAGCGCTGCGGTTGCTATCAATCAGAACATGCTCGGGCGTGTTCCACCACCCTGGATTGACACCGAGAGAGAGAGAGAGAGAGAGAGAGAGAGAGAGAGAGAGAAAGCCACCGAGCGAATACCGACTCTGCCACCACCACACATTCGGCGGTTCTATACATCGCCGACTACTCGCAATGGCACCGAAGATTGCCCACCACTCACCACGGGGTATGATGACAAAGACTCAGGCGGGGGCGAGTCCATTACATATAGCGCCTCCTTCCGACTTAGTTCACACAGATAGCGGAGATCAACGATGTAGTGAAGAGCTAAGGGTTTCCGCTGTTCCGGTGGCGGCGGTAATGGGCGGCGGTTGAACGCAAGCAGAGAAAACGAGTGAGTCTGAAGGCATTTTTTTGCCTTGGGCAGATATGAGCCAGCAAGCAAGTCATTTCAAAAATAGTAAGGAATTGAGAACAGGTACTGCGGGCTAGCTAACTGCTACGAGAAAGGGAGAGAAGGGGGATAAGGACATATGGGGTGAAGCTGCTGCTGCTGCCCCACTGCTTCATCTACAGTCATTCAGGTCGGCCGGACACAAACTGTCCCATATTCCTCGTCGGCACAACTGCCCTTATGTTGTTAGACCTTCTTCAACGGCCACTGATCCCGGTCATCACCAGAACTCCCGTTCCAGCACGTTCAACGCAGTTTAGTTTCATCCAGTCCTCCCCCCGCTAAATTCCCTCCTTTCAAAAGTCCTGGGCGCTGTAGTAAGATCTGTGGAACAAAGTAGAGAACGTAGAAGAACAACCAGTGTGTGGCTCACGGTAGGACATCGGTGGTCTTAGTAGTAGAATAGGGCAAGGCAGAAGGAGGGAGGTAAGGCTGTTTCCGCTGGCGAAGTAAGGCTAGTCCAGCGTGTCGACTACGGTAACCTTGTCGAGCCACCATAGTCGTCGGAAGAAGTCGGCAGGGTCAGGGCAATGGCGAATGGCGGAAACCGAGAAGCGAAGCGAGCGGTGGCCTGACAGAGACCACTGCCATAGGCCGAAGCCGAGATAGATAGTAGCTATCCTCGGAGAAATGTCGGTTCGTCAGATGGCCAGGCGGCCACACATATCTAGAAGAGAACTTACGATTGCCGCCACCACAAAGACTACGTCAAAGCCGACCTACCGCATAATACTACGTGATTTTCTTATCTCCTGCTCTCATTCTTAGAAATAGTGAAATGAAAAACGTTCCTTCGTATAGGCCTACTTTTTTGTACCTATACAATTTTGCGATTTACGGTGCTTGCGCTCCCCCTGTCCGATATCTAATGATAGTTCTAGTAGATCGGTGGAAAACAGTTATGTACTAAAACTGGTGTATGGTATTCACTATCGCATAATCTGCAAGATTTGCATATGTCTGAATTTTTAATCTTAAATATTTGT